AAAGATATTCACATTCCACCATGAAATACCCTACAGTATACTTTTATCTTGACATCTATATAATTACCAAAGTAGTATGTACCACACTCGAAATACAAAATGATGTAAGTTATGAATAAGAGAATGTACTTCATAAATATTTCCAGAACTGTTCAGAATTTTTTTTTTCAACAAGTCGGCCGTCTCCCACCGAGGCAGGGTGACCCAAAAAGAAAGAAAATCCCCTAAAACAAAATACTTTCATCATCACTCAAATACTTTCACCTCACTCATACATAACCACTGTCTTTCCACAGGCGCCCAGATGCAACAGTTTAGAAGCATATATAAAGATATATAACATATACCTCCAAACTGCCAATATCCCAAACCCCTCCTTTAAAGTGCAGGCATTGTACTTCCCATTTCCAGTACTCAAGTCCGGCTATATAAAAATAACAGGTTTCCCTGAATCCCTTCACTAAATATTACGATGCTCACACTCCAACAGCTTATCAGGTCCCAAAAACCATTCATCTCCATTCACTCCTATCCAACACGCTCACGCACGCTTGCTAGAAGTCCAAGCCCCTTGCCCACAAAACCTCCTTTACCCCCTCCCTCCAACCTTTTCGAGGATGACCCCTACACCGCCTACCTTACCCTACAGATTTATATGCTCTCCAAGTCATTCTACTTTGATCCATTCTCTCTAAATGACCAAACCACCTCAACAACCCCTCTTCAGCCCTCTGACTAATACTTTTATTAACTCCACACCTTCTCCTAATTTCCACACTCCGAATTCTCCGAATTCCTAAAATCTGGAACACCCTACCTGAAAACTCTAGAACTGCAGACACATTCATCACTTTCAAAACTACAGTTGGAAAACATCTTATCTCCCTGATACACCCTGACAACTAACTACATGATAACCACCTGGTGGTTCAAAATTACACTCACTCACCCACTGACTATAAACCCAGAAATACTAATCTTAATCTTAAAATAATAAATCCTAACTAGTCATAAGTTTGCCTATGATACTCCAATATAGACACTTTGTATTGTGCCAAAACAAAAGCATTCACATTGCTAAACTCACAAATTATGATGTAGTCACTTAGCCTTAATACTATAATCTGTAAAAATTAATCTAAGTCTGCTGGAAATGCCTAGCCATGCTAGGTGTCCTAGTGATCCCCTCTGTAATTAGTATTTTATAACATGTAAACCACAAAATACCCAAAACCTGTAAACCCCACATTGTAACCATTATAGAGAATAAACTTGAATATTTACACCACACACTGGCCTTAGACAGGACATCTCCAGTGCCTCCAGCTGCCTTCTCGCTGCAGCATTTACAACCCAACCTTCACACGCATATAAGAGTGTTGGTGTTGACCTACTTTTACCAGGAAGTAATCTCCCTCTCTTCTACACATCCTAACCTGAGCTTCACTATCCTCATAAAAACTCTTTACAGCATTTAGTAACTTACTACCTATTCCATACACTTGTAACATCTGCCACATTGCTCTCCTATCCTTGTGGCTTAGCGCTTCTTTTTGATTATAATAATAATAATGCTCTCCTATCCACTCTATCATTTTTTTTTTTTTTTGTTTCAACAAATCGGCCGTCTCCCACTGAGGCAGGGTGACCCAAAAAAAAGAAAGAAAATCCCCAAAAAGAAAATACTTTCATCATCATTCAACACTTTCACCACACTCGCACATTATCACTGTTTTTGCAGAGGTGCTCAGAATACAACAGTTTAGAAGCATACACATATAAAGATACACAACATATCCCTCCAAACTGCCAATATCCCAAACCCCTCCTTTAAAGTGCAGGCATTGTACTTCCCATTTCCAGGACTCAAGTCCGACTATATGAAAATAACCGGTTTCCCTGAATCCCTTCACTAAATATTACCCTGCTCACACTCCAACAGATCGTCAGGTCCCAAGTACCATTCGTCTCCATTCACTCCTATCTAACACGCTCACGCACGCTTGCTGGAAGTCCAAGCCCCTTGCCCACAAAACCTCCTTTACCCCCTCTCTCCAACCCTTTCGAGGACGACCCCTACCCTATCATATATCCTATCATATGCCTTTTCTAAATCCACAAATGCAATGAAAACTTCCCTACCTTTATCTAAATACTGTTTACATATATGCTTTAATGTAAACACTTTATCTACACATCCCCTACCCACTCTAAAGCCTCCTTGCTCATCTGCAATCCTACTCTCTGTCTTACCTCTAATTCTTTCAATAATAACCCTACCGTACATTTCACCTGGTATACTCTGTAAACTTATTCCCCAATAATTTTTACAATCTCATTTGTCCCCCTTCCCTTTATATAAAGGAACTATACATGCTTTCTGCCAATCCCTAGGTACCTTCCCCACTTTCATATATTTATTAAACAAAAATACCAACCACTCCAATACTATATCCCCCCTGCTTTTAACATTTCTGTCATGATCCCGTCAGTTCCAGCTGCTTTACTCCCTTTCATTCTATGTAATGCCTCATGCAACTCCCCCACACTCGCATCCTGTTCTTCTTCACTCCTAAAAGATGGTATACCTCCCTGGCCAGTGCATGAAATTACCGCCTCCCTGTCTGCATCGACATTTAAAAGTTTCTCAAAATATTCCTGCCATCTACCCAATACCTCCAGCTCCCCATCTACTAACTCCCCTACTCTGTTTTTAACAGACAAATCCATTCATTCCCTAGGCTTTCTTAACTTGTTTATCTCACTCCAAAATTTTTTTCTTATTTTCTGCAAAATTTCTTGACAGTGCCTCTCCCACTCTATTATCCGCTCTCCTTTTGCACTCTCTCACCACTTTCTTCACCTTTCTTTTACTCTCCATATACTCTACTCTTCTTACAACACTTCTGCTTTGTAAAAAACTCTCATAAGCTACCTTTTTCTCTTTTATCACACCCTTTATGGCATCATTCCACCAGTCACTCCTCTCTCCTCCTGCACCCACCCTCCTATAGCCACAAACTTCTGCCCCACATTCTAATATTGCATTTTTAAAACTATCCCAACCCTCTTCAACCCCCCACACTACTCATACTTGCATTAGCCCACCTTTCTGCCAATAGATGCTTATATCTCACCCTAACTTCCTCCTCCCTTAGTTTATATACTTTCACCTCTCTCTTACTTGCTGTTGTCATTTTCCTTTTGTCCCATATACCACTTACTCTAACTGTAGCTACAACTAAATAATGATCCGATATATCCGTTGCCCCTCTATAAACATGTACATCTTGAAGCCTACCCATCAGCCTTTTATCCACCAATACATAATCTAACAAACTACTTTCATTATGTGCTATATCATGCCTTGTATACTTGTTTATCCTCTTTTTCATAAAATATGCATTACTTATTACCAAACCTCTTTCTATACATAGCTCAATTAAAGGCTTCCCATTTTCATTTACCCCTGGCATCCCAAATTTATCTACTACTCCCTCCCCAACATTTTTACCCACTTTAGCATTGAGATCCCCAACCACAGGTACTCTCTCACTTAGTTCAAAACTCCCCATGCACTCACTCAACATTTCCCAAAATCTCTCTCTCTCCTCTATATTTCTCTCTTCTCCAGGTGCAAAAACACTTACTACAACTCACTTTTCATATCCAACCATTATTTTACTCCACATAATCCTTGAATTTATACATTTATATTCCCTCTTTTCCTGCCATAACTTATCCTTCAACATTATTGCTACTCCTTCTTTAGCTCTAACTCTATTTGAAACTCCTGACCTAATCCCATTTATTTCTCCCCACTGAAACTCTCCTATCCCCTTCAGCTTTGTTTCACTTAAAGCCAGGACATCCAGCTTCTTTTCATTCACAACATCCACAATCCACAACATGCACATTCAAACATCCCACTTTGATGATTTTCTTCTTTTTGTTTTTAGTAAGCTATACGGGAAAAGGGATTACTAGCCCACTGTTCCCGGCATTTTAGTTGACTTTTACAACATGCATGGCTTAGGGAGGAAAGATTCTTATTCCACTTCCACATGGATATGAAAGGAAAAGCAATAAGAATAAGAACTATTAAGATAAAATCAAAGAAAACTCACATGAGTGTATATACATAAACATGTACATGCATGTGTAGTGTGACCTAAGTGTAAGTAGAAGTAGCAAGACGTACCTGAAATCTTGTATGTTTATGAGACACACAAAAGACACCAGCAATCCTACCATCATGTAAAACAATTACAGGCTTTCGTTTTACACTCACTTGGCAGGACGGTAGTACCTCCCTGGGCGGTTGCTGTCTACCAACCTACTACTTATGTTTTATAAAACAGTCTTCCACATTAAAAAATGATGAGGAAACCCTCAACTATCTCTAGAAATAAAAGTGACTTACCACAACAGTGTCAATAATACACAAATATAAATTAAGCTTCCACCCAATGCAAAATCTTTGTGCAGAGACTTTCAAAACAGTAGTGATTCTCCCCTTTAAAACCTTGAAACTGGACAGATGACAGAGAATACAGAACAAAATAAACATTGTGCTAAAGCATAACATAGGTTACACTACTAGACAGTCATATTAGGTCAGTAAGAAATGTGAACTCAACTACAAGTGACATACACCACAATGACAGCTAGCAGTTGCAACAAGAATGAATGAGTCCAAAATTCTTAAGTCACTAAATGGTTCAGCATTACTAATATATACTACATTTTATTTTTCAACAAACTGGCCGTCTCACACTGAGTTAGGGTGACCTGAAAGAGAAGAAATGCTTTTACCATCATTCACTCCATCACTGTCTTGCCAGAAGGGTGCTGATACTACAGTTCAAAACTGCAAATATCCTCACCCCTCCTTCAGATTGCAGGCACTGTACTTCCCAGTCAATTAGTTAATGGCTTAAGTGACTAAGAATTTAGACTCAATTCTCAAACAATAATAGAAAAACTAAAAAGTTACGTACCATGATACACTGCACGGTCATACTGATTCTGCAATTCATCTTTATCCACAAATACTGAAACTGTGTCAGAATCAACAAACTCTTCATTTGGATCAGATGAATAGAACACCTCTCTGACTGTCCTTGGTGGCCTTTTGCTATTTCCTGGAGAAGACTTCACAGTAGCCTGTGAACTAGATCTTGCTGCAAATGGACTAACTGAATGTCTAGCTGCTTTCTTCAGAGTGCGATCTGGTTGTCTGATGTTGATTGTCACAGTGCCATCCTGGGAGGTGATGGCTGTTGCGTGGCTCTGACAAGAATTGGGATACTCTATTGGCCTGGTTGTTGATATTCCAACACTGTGGGCTGGGTTGTCATTGAGTGGCATATACTGGACTCCTGGTAGCTGAGGAAAGAACACACTTATGAAATCTATACTTGAATAATAAAAGACAATGGAGTGTACAGTATGTACAAGTCTGACTATTATAAGTGTCTAACAAGAGATACTAAATTAATAATTCTTTTTTAGCTAATATAATGCAACACATAGTGGTATATCAATACCATTCATAGAATATTTACTATTAACCAGTGAAGTTTTTTACCAGGACAAGATGTACTACAAGATTTAACATGTAATTAAATAAATATTTTTTAGGGTATAAAGGATGGTGCAATATTTAGGTAAATTAGTAGGACTTAAAACAGGATTTACATTATAAAGTGAACAACAAAAAGGAAGAAATGTATATGGTTTTATATGCTGTACTGCTAAAATCTGTTTTATACACTTGAGAAAATCCTTCCATACCAACTGTGAAGAGTGTTGAGGCTGTTGTGGAGTTTTTGACTCTGTTATAACCTCAAGTCTGCCATCACCACACTCCTCTCCTGGTATGAGTGAAGAATATCAATTTACTGTGCATCCAATGCAGAATAAATTCTAAAATAAATCATAGTCATCAAAATGGATACAATACCTGGCAACAATAAACACTCAGAAATATAATACTATATTTTAATAATTTTAAGTTGGTGAGCTTCAAACGTATGTTGAAGAGTATACTCTTCAACAGACATTTGAAGACAGTTCTGTCACTCGTGCAGTGAGCACAAGCTTTGGCATCTTTGAAAAGTAACATTTTGTAATTTCAGACACAATCATAAACTCATTAGGGTGTCAGAAAGATTATTCAACATTGTATTTACTCAGCACATTATATGATATTAATTATTCACTCACTAGCATATCATGAACATTTACTTGTTATACTGTTTTATGCTATTTTATTAAGAATACACAAGCTTTCAAACAATAAAAGGATTATGAGAATCTTGTTAGGAATATACGTATACAAGTTTTCAATATGACAAGAGCTGTGAAAACCAACATGGGCTATATTTTAACATAGATATATCACAAAAAAATAAATAAAAAATTAATAACTAATACAGTGGACCCCCAGTTAACGATATTTTTTCACTCCAGAAGTATGTTCAGGTGCCAGTACTGACCGAATTTGTTCCCATAAGAAATATTGTGAAGTAGATTAGTCCATTTCAGACCCCCAAACATACACGTACAAACGCACTTACTTAAATACACTTACATAATTGGTCGCATTCGGAGGTAATCGTTATGCGGGGGTCCACTGTATATGATTACACAAAATACTCTATGTCTTCAAGCTCACCCAGTTCTCAAGCAAGAGGTTTTAGTTCAGATCAATGGAGGTGAGATGACACCTCACAGCAGTGAATGTTTACTCACATCTTGCTCATTTCAGCTGATCAAGTCATATGATGTGAAGTAGTTACAGTGTATACTGATTCATTATTTCTGATACTGTATTTTATTGTATTCTGGTATTGTAGTTTTAGGTTATTGTGAAATTTTCAAATTATAACAAGCTAATGTAAGAAGTCTCAATTGTTATAAGTATAGATCTGAAGCTTGATAAGCATCACTTCTGCTTGAAGATGTCCGTGGATCAAAGGAAAGGCACAGCACAGCCAGAAAGTCTGTAGGCTGTGTGCATATTTTTTGTGTTAATTGTTATTGTTTCCTCTAACAATTATGAGTCCGTATTATGAAGACTGTGAAAGGTTATTTAGGAAAACAAGGATGCATCATGAGATAAGATTAGGATATTAATCTTACCCAGTCTCCTGTGGTCACCAGACTCAGAACCACAGGGTGATCCACTGTCAGAAAAACAGGTGGAACAAGACTCACTGCACGACTCTGACCCTGAGCTTGTGCTTGACTCTCCATACAGTACTGAGCTACAAGATGCGCTAGAGCTACATGACGACTCCAGCTCACGGGCATTTTCCAATGCTGTTGTTGCTATCTGATTGTCTCCATTACGTTTTGCCACAATATGGACAGCCATAAAGCAGTCATAGTCCTTCAGATCAAGAGCTAACCGTAAAGCTTTTTCTAGCCTCCCAGACCTGTGAATAAAAGTCAAGACTTATATAAAAAAATTCTACCTCAATGGCCATGTGCCACTAAGGCAGGGTGACACAGAAAAAACACCTTCACTATCATCCATTCTACCACTGTCTTTCCAGAGGCATGATGATATCACACTTCAGATTATCCTGACTGCAATATTCCTACCCCTCCTTCAGCACTAATCTTTTCAATATTTATGCAAACACTATTTATGTGGTAAAATAATAAAACTTTAATTAAAATAAATTTTGAACTTCATATATCTAAACAAAGAATTATAATTTTAAGAGAAACAGAGGATCTCACCTAAGCACACGGAAGAAAAATCTGCGAGTAAGGGCCCTTATAGCTGGCCCAAACTCCTCTTCTACAGCCTGACTGATAGGTTGTACTGGAACATGGAAGCTTCCTAATGCACCTTCTAACTGAGTTTCTCTTTGGGGAGTCAAAGGTAACCGCAGGAGATGGTTGGCAACAGCTGTCAAACACTGCATGGCTAATGGACCTTCTTGATCCCAAGTGAGAGAAACCAGAAGGTTAACAGCTTCATCTAACTGACGATGCTTAATGTACTGGGCAACCAGAGCTGGAGCTGTGAGATCATCTCTGCTCATTACGCTGATATCAACACGCAGGCAAGCTATAGGTCCTCTGATGTAGTGTAGCAGAAGTAAATGAGGATTATATTTCATCTGAGATTCCTCAGGCTTTCTAGCTGGGGCCCAGGTAAGTTTTAACAGGGACTGTTGATGACAAAAGTGCTCAGAAAAGTCCAAAATTCTCTGAGGATTATGATCTTCCATAACCAACTGCAGTCTGATAAGAGACAAGGCCAGATCAAAGCATTGAATCTGACCTCTCTCATTACTAACTACCACTATATTTCCTGAGTTCAACCAAGCAATATTTGATGGGATCAGTCCTGCCTTTGTTACATGCGTCATGCCACGAGAGTCACAGTGCAGTGCTAAGACGCCATTATTGCAGGCTAGAAGTAAACGATCCTCAGCGGGGTTGTGAGCATGGGCCATTAGAGGAGCTTCTAAGGGGATTGTAGTAACTGTTACACGATGCAATGCACCTCGCTCTACCTGAAGAATAAAATACTTTTAAGGATTGATGGACGTACTGCATATACTTCTCAATTTTTTTTAACCTATCTGTGGGTACAAAGACACAGCTAAATTGTCTTAGTAATTTAGTGTCATATATATTTTTAAATTTCCAATGGTTGTAGCACTAACTAGATCCTTTATTAAGGTATCCCATTCTTCTGCCACTCTGTTTATTAAGAACTTTTTGATATCATTTCTATACCTATTCTTCCAGAGCCCAATCTTGGCTAATGTCTTTAAGAATTATTTGACAGAATTATTACCTATCCTTCCTGGAGCAAGGGGCTAGTAATCCCTTCTCCTGCATAAATTACTAAATTTAAAAAGAGAAACTTTCGTTTATGTTTTCAGATCACCTTGCTTCTGTGGGATATGGTTAGTTTGTTGAAAAAAAAAAAATCCCTTCCTGATCGCATCTGGATGAAGTATGTGGATACCTTTGCTGTGTGGCTACAAGAGCAAAATTTCAAAGCCTTTTATTAATTAAATAATTTACATTATTTCAGCAAATTCAAATATGAATGGAAGCTGAATGAAAGGTCCCATTCCTTGATGTTCTAATTAATAACTGTAGTGACTGTAAGATGACAACCACTGTATATAACAGACATGCATTCTAATGAGCACATACATTTCTTATGTCATGAAAAGTAACTGATATTTTTTGCTATACTCTCTGTTTCTGAAAGCATATTTTGTGTCATGAAAGTTATGTACATGATGAAGCACTGAGAATATGTAATATTTTCTGAGATCTATATTGCCTTCAGTCATTTACTTAACTAGCTCATTTTACTGACAGAAATTCTAATTATGTTATCCAGACTCTTATATCTGATGACCTGTAAATGCATAGTGCTTACTTATAACAAAAAAATCTGAGAACAGTTTATGAAAAAAAAGTTATCATAAAAGTAGTATAGATACAGTAATGCACAACAGATTAAAAATTAAAACTAAGCTCTGGGTCACCCAAGACAATGGTGTGTATTGTCTCCATTGCAAGTTATATTCTAGTTTTTGATGGAGGAGGTAAAAGTATTTTCTAACACACTGGCGATTTCTCACCAAGGGAGAATGATTAAAAGAAACAAACACATTCAACATCACATGCTTCCTGGCTGCATTCTCAGAGTGGCAGAGCCATTGTTCATCAAAGACCCACCAAAACACAACATCCTGCCTGACTCAATGTGAAAACAATGTTCTTGCACCAAATATGATTGGCTAAGCACTTTCCTTGAATTCCTAAAGATATCTGCATAGCCACACTTCAGTCCAGTATAAACTGCAGGAATTATTAGAACATCTAACAACTTTTTTTACCTCATACACACAGCTGAGGACTGTCACTCCTCCCTTCTTTCCAAACCCTTGTTCCACTGTCAGCAGAACATTTGGCTGCACCTTACTGAAAGAAACGCTTAGAGGTGCCATCTCTGTTCGGCAGTAGCACACCAAATCCATACTTGTCCCTTCCAAAGAGTAGACAAGAATGTTTGCACGGTCGCGGTCCTTTGCTAGTGGGCTCCAAGGATATACCTCATCTTCACTCGTCTGCCACCATACCACCACCTGAAGTTGGTTATGACCTTAATATGCTGGAGTGTGCAAACCAATACTATGTAATAAATAACAATACTATGTCATATATAGAAAACACATGTTAACTCCTCAAACTCTGAATGTAAGGAAAAGAGGATAGGCTACAGATAAGGAAAAATACTATTATCTCACTGGACAGTGTTTTATACTGCATTTGAAAAATTACTACAACTACTACTACTACCACTGCCACCACCACCTCCTACTACTACTAATATTACCATCTACTCCTACTACTGCTTCTACCACCTGCTCCTACTACTCATTTATTAAAATTATGACAATAATAATCAAATAAGGGGATACCTAAGGACTGACAGCATGAATAGTTCCCTTCTATAAGGTAAAAGGGGATGTGTAGACCAAGTGTTGATGTTGAAGCATATAAGTGACCAGTATCTAGATAAGGGTAAATAGAAGTTTGTTGCATTTATGGATTGAGAGGAAGCATATAACTGGGTTGATAGGGAAGGAATGTGACAGATGTTACAAAATGTATACAATGGGTGGTAAGTTACTAAAGCCATAAGAGTTTTTATGCTGAAGTTAAGTATGTAGGAGGGAGAGGGACTAATATTTCTCTGAGAGAGCAGGACTTAGAGATGTGTTATGTCACTATGGTTATTTAATATATTTATAGATGGATGTAAAAGAAGTAAATGCTATACTGCTGGGGAGAGGTGTAGGACTGAAAGATACAGTGGAACTCAGTTTTCATTTGCCCTGGTTTTCGCCAAATCTGGTTTTTGACAATTTTTCGGCAAAATTTTGTCCCAGTTTTCGTTCATCACCTCGGTTTTCACTGAGTTGACAGTGGTCCGCCTTACCGAATGTGTCCACCCGTGCCCACACAAAGCATCCCACTCGTTCTGAGTCAGTCTGGCTTTGTTTTTCGTCAGTAGAGGGTGGTAGTGATGGTGGTAGAGAGTGGTAGTGATGGCAGTAGAGGGTGGTAGTGATGGTGGTAGAGGGTGGTAGTGATGGTGGTAGAGGGTGGTAGTGATGGTGGTAGAGGGCAGTAGTGATGGTGGTAGAGGGTGGTAGTGATAGTGGTAGAGGGTGGTAGAGGGTGGTAGTGATAGTGGTAAAGGGTGATAGTGATGGTGGTAAAGGGTGGTAGTGATGGTGGTAAAGGGTGGTAGTGATGGTGGTAAAGGGTGGTAGTGATGGTAGTAAAGGGTGGTAGTGTTTGATGGGTAGGGGTGGTTAGTGATGGTGGTAGAGGGTGGTAGTGATGGTGGTAGAGGGTGGTAGTGATGGTGGTAGAGGGTGGTAGTGATGGTGGTAGAGGGTGGTAGTGATGGTGGTAGAGGGTGGTAGTGATGGCAGTAGAGGGTGGTAGTGATTGTGGTAGAGGGTGGTAGTGATGATGGTAGAGATAACCTCTCCTCCCTCTCCCCTCCTCGCCGTCTTCCATACGCCAACAAGAGTCTTCAATAAAGGTAAAAGTGATGTTAAATGTTCATTTATCCATTTCATTAGTCCTTTGTATTTATTTCTCATTGTTTTCTGTGCATAAAACTACAGTTATTCTCTATACAGTAGGGTCCCACTTATACGGTAGGTTAGGTTCCAGGCTACCGCTGTAAAGTGGAAATTGCTGTAAAGTGGAACACCTTTTTTTCCACTTATAAATTCATATAAATACTAGATAACAAGTTTACACTAACACTAACTCTCTCTATCCAGGTAACATATATTAAGTTAGCAATAGAACTAGGCATTAAAAAGAAAACAATAAAAAAGTAAAATACACATATAGTACACTCATTACTTACCTCAAAATATTTGCAGTCTTAATCTAGGGTGAGATGAGTAGTATTTATTGTAAGAAATCAAGTGTGGTATGTATGGTAGCCAGCCAGGCTACCATACCAGGCCAACCCACCCACACATAATATTCTAAGACATTTAAGGTCCCAGAGCAATAAAATGCACATACAGTTCACTCATTACTTACCATAAAATATCTGTAGTCTTAATTAGGAGAGAGAGAGATGGGGAGAGAGAGAGAGAGAGAGAGAGAGAGAGGAGGGAGAGAGAGAGAGAGGAGAGAGAGAGAGAGAGAGAGAGAGAGAGAGAAGAGAGAGAGAGGGAGAGAGAGAGAGAGAGAGAGAGAGGGGAGAGAGAGAGAGAGAGAGAAAAGAGAAAAGAGAGAGAGAGAGAAAAGAGAGAGAGAGGGGAGAGAGAGTAGAGAGAAGAGAGAGAGAGAGAGAGAGGAGAGAGAGAGAGAGAGAGAGAGAGAGAGAGAAGAGAGGGAGAGAGAGAGGGAGGAGAGGAGAGGAGAGAAGAGAGAAGAGGAGGAGGGGGAGAGAGAGAGAGAGAGAGAGAGAGAGAGAGAGAGAGAGAGAGAGAGAGAGAGAGAGGCGAGAGAAGAAGAGAGAGAGAGAGAGAGAGAGAGAGAAGAGAGAGAGAGAGAGAGAGAGAGAGAGTGAGGGAGAGGAGAGTGAGACGAGAGAAGAAAAAGAGTGAGAAGAGAACATGAAGTTGAGGAGGTAACAGAGAGAGATGAGATGTGAGAGTTGACATGAGAGAAGGGGAGTGGAAGCATGTGCATGGTTCGTCCTCAAAGTGAGCAGACATGAGGACCCCATTAACTTCTAATGAGAAAAGACTTGATCGAACACAACTAGTACTGACTAGATTGGATGTAAGACCTCAAGCAGCGACCTTAAATGGAAGGATATTGATGCCTTCTTAACAGTGTTACATGACAAATTTGTTGCCACCCCTTACAATTTGAGACTTCTTCATGGTCTGCATAAACCTTGTACCATTACTGCCTTGACCAGTAGTGAGTGATCTGGCGAAGGCATAGTCACTGTCCCAAACCCCTCGGCTATGTTGGATCGTCTGACCACAAGGCTGTTTTTACGACACAAAAGATCCCTGGATAGATCTGTCATTTCAGCAGAGCCTTCAACATAGGAGGTATGTGGGTGCCTTACTGTTATGTACCAGGCAATATTGTCAAAGTACCACAACCTTGGATCCACTTCAAGGACAGCGTGAAACAAGCTTTTTTTAAAGCCACAAGTGGGCAGGGGGAAACAGGAACTCACTCTGGCTGTACCCTTCTTTCCCGAACATCACTCCATCTGAGATCCTATATACCCAGGATGACTCAAGTATGGAACACATTCGTACAGCATAATGATGTCAACGAGATAAAGTCAGTTGATCAAATGAAAATGCTGGCCCACAGATGGCCCCAAATTTCATCCTGTTCCCTACTTGTATGTCTCATAACAATTAAAAATGCTTTCAAATGAGCTGATGTAGGTAACAATTTCTTTAGCTTTGGCAATAAAGTTAGGAACCCTTTAAACCTGTAAATAGCTTGTCAAAAACTAGGTCCTAACTTGTCAAACCCTGTGTAAAAAAAAAAAAAGAAATGAGAGAGAAGAGAGAGAGAGAGAAAAGAGAGAAGAGAGAGGAGTGAGGAGAGAGAGAAGAGAAGAGCAGAGTGAGCAGGTAGAGAGAGAGGAGAGAAGGAAGGAAAGAGCAGAGCAGAGACAGAGAGAAGGGGAGAGAAGAGAGACGAGTAGAGAAGAGGAGGAGAGAGAAGGAAGAGAGGGAGAGAGACAGAGAAAGATATAGATAGAAGAGAGAGAGAGAGAGATAGAGAGAGTGAGAAAAGATAGAGGGAGAGATAGATAGATAGAGGGAGATAAGAAGAGAGAGTATATATGGGAAGTAAAGAGAGAGAATATTAAGAGAGAGATATAGATAGATGAGGAGATATAGATAGAGAGATATAGATAGATGAGAGAGATGATTGGTATGAGAGAGGACATTGTGGAGTTATTAAAACCGGTTTAAAAACCAGTTTTAAAACAACCAGGCAAACACTTCTGGAATTGTGTCAAGTCATGTGTAAGTGTTCATGGATACGGAGATATAAGAGGAACACCCACTCTGAACACCATTTTTTAAGAAAGGGAACTCTGGGTGAAGGCTACAAAAAGAATAATTTTTTACAGTTAAACCCCAGAACACATTTTCTCTTATGTTTTGGACTAGAGAAATTGTTCTTGATCATTTGGGTACAAGTCATCTGGTACCACAATCTATTTTTTGTTCATTTTTTTTCTACTGTGGGGAAGTATTTATCATCTTTTATATGTAATGTATATGTTTATTATATAATTTGAAAAAATATCATAGATGGATTAATTTAAAATGTGTATATTAACATAATATAGAATTTAATGAATCAGTCATTATTACTGAGGAGGCCGGGTTTACAACCGGCCCGCGGGGGCGTTGACCCCCGAAACTCTCTCCAGGTAAACTCTCCAGGTAAACATATTATTATAATTACAGTAGGGCCCAGCTTTAGGGCGTTTCGCTTTAGGGCATTCCGCTAATACGGTCATTTCAAATTACAGTGGACCCCCGGTATTCGATGGCATCGGTATTCGATAAATCCGGTATTCGATGCATTATATCGCAAAAAATTTTCCTCAGTATTCGATTGAAAACCCGGTATTCGATACGATTCGTATGAGATGTGTCCACGTGTGGCCTGAACTGCCCCGTGTATGCCAGTGTTTACAAGCCAGCCAGTGTGCGTGCATCTAAGGATACATTCGGTACATTCCATATTATCCATATTATCGCCGTGTTTGGTGCTTGTTTCTGCAAAATAAGTCACCATGGGCCCCAAGAAAGCTTCTAGTGCCAACCCTTTGAGAAAAAAGTCACTAATTTAAGTACTTATGAAATGAAGAAAGAGATAATTGCAAAGTACGAAAGTGGAGTGCGTTTTGGTCGGAGCTGGTTAGGTTGTATAATAAACCCCAATCAACCAAATCTCTACTATAGTGACCAGGAAAACAGCAATCAAGGGAAGCTGTTCTTGCAAAAGGTGCAACTGTGATTACGAACAGCGACCGCAAGTGTTAAAAAAATTGCTGAGAGATTGTTATTGGTGTGGATAAATGAAAAACAGATAGCAGGAGATAGCA